GAGTGACGACTTGAACTGTTGCACATCTGTGCAAAGTTCTATGTCGAAAACAGACAGACAGACAGACGTAGTGTTTACAAACATGTATGCGCCCTGTGAGTTGCCGCCGCCGGATTACAATTTCATCGTCATCATCATGATCCTACCCTTTTCTAAGATAAAATTACGAAAGAAAAGTAAAAAAGAACAACGATCAAACCAGCAACAACAACAACAACAAAAGAAGAGCAATAAAAAGTCTTGCAAAATCTTATTTTCTCCTCTTTTTCTTTTTCTTCTTCTTAAATACCACAACGATACAGAAGGTTCGTTTGGCATTTGCCTGCCAACTTACGCCATCTCTGGTTTAGTAGATGTGATATCCGGCTGATTGGCTGGCTGAATGGCTGTCAATCAAAGGGCGTGTGTAACTGCTCAACAACAGTTCACACTGTCCTCCTTTGTGTGTCTGGTTGTGAGTGAGACTTGGTCCCCATTGGAAATGGACGACATGAAAAGCCTGCCTGGCTAGCTGTCTTTGATCATTTTGTGTCTGCGTTCTATCTCCCGTGAGTGATGTTGAGATGAGGCATCGGTCGAGTGTGCTAGGTGACTGGGATTGGCTACCAATCGACGAGGTGTCTGTGAAGTTACATTGATTGACAGACAGTGGTTAGGACATATGTTTCGCATGACTAGCCTAGCCTACACATTGATCGCCTCGTTCGACAGCGGGCAATGCTAGCTGACTGTGACTGTCATAGGATGGATCAGGTTGGAAATGAGTTGGCTAGTTGACTTCATCAGTCAATGAAATAACTCCGCAACAGTTAGTTTAAGTCAGCCGGTCAATCAGCCACGTGGAGTGGGAGGTGTACACTTCCTGACTGACTGACTAGTTGGGGTCCCTGGGATGGTAAGAACCAATGATGGTGGCTGGAGGCAATTGATGATATAGCTGAAGGTCATTCTCGGTGATGGCTGGCGCAGATGTATTCACTGTTTGTGATTTATAATATCCAATAGAACCCTATTGTTTTTCCACATTAGTATTCTTTTTCCCTAACTCACACTTTTGTTTATTATCTCTGTTTTGAATCTCTTCTGTTGCTTTGTGTGCTACATTGAGGGAGTGTGGCAACTGTAACTGCTGCATATCTGTGCAAGGTTCTACTTCGAAACCTGTCACTCATAACGGAGGAAGAATAACTTGCAATAGGGGAAAATATGTGAAGGTTTAATAAGGATATTGGGGATTACAAAGACTGAATGTATCTGTGCAATTGAGGATGATTTTAAGCCATACCATATCCATATTCTCAAGCCATTGGTTCTTCGCCCCCTGAGGACCCTAATCAATCAGGTTGCACCTTCCTATATGGCTTAAACTAACAGTCAGAGACTTGACAGAATGATGCCGGGTTTTTGTCTAACCATCCCCTGACTCACTCTTTTCTAACGTAACATTGATCGTTGAGGAGGACGGTGGCTTGGCATGCGCAGCACTCATCTCCTAGCCGTCTTGATATCGACGTGGTTTCACTAAAGCTTATCAAGACGGCGGGGTGTATTCACAATAGTTTGAAGTAAGTAGTACTATTAAGTAGTATGTGTATATGCAGGGAAATACAAAACGAAGCTTCTCTATTCCCATAATTGCATCACGAATAACGTCAGACAAAAAGGAACAAACAGGTCAAAAATGTAGAAAAATAAGTTGGGAAATAATCAGATAACTTTTTGTTCCCTTCAATTCATTGTGTATCATATCGTATAGACTAAAATTAACATTTGAATCCATCGACGTGTGATTTTATTGAACCGAAGTGTTTTGATCTCTTTTGACATGTTATCTTCAAAGCAGAAGACAATGATGGGCTCTGTGTGTGTGCGTGTGTGTATGTGTTTAACAATCCCTGAGATTAAGTTGTATTTGAAAATCGCCATGCTTTTAAATTACTTCTTTAATTCCTTTACGTATCGAGTAGAACCTAGGGCTTCTTCAAGCTTTGGTGTTTCAGTAGGGCTTGTATTGTTTTCACGCAGGGTGGATGGGATTACTTGTCTCATGCCAAAGCTTTCCCTCTTTATCGAACTTACTGTCATCTATTTTTATATTCAAGTATTGGTTTGTAGGGATTTTGTTTGATTGTTTGGAGGATCTTATCATGAGTTGACCTCGGTTAGAGAACCATTTAAAAATCAACTGGGAGTACTGGGCAGCTGTTTCATCCTAGTTTGGGACTCTTCATCAGTACGCACCCGCTCTATTCAGGTTGGTAGTAGTTACATGGGGTTCTAGTGGGAATTGCTCTATATCGTGTGTGAACTGGCAGAAGTTAAAATGCATGCACTGACTGGCCATTAGATTGGCGGGTGCCAGTGGCTTAATGGTCTACGAGCTAGCTCGCCTTGTAACCGGAAGGTCCTGTGTTTGAATCCTGTTGGAGGGTGCATGTTGCTGAAGAGTCCAAAACTGGCCTGACGAAACAACTGTCTGTACAGTACTCAAGTGGTGGTTTTCCAATGGTTCCTTAACCAATGTCAGTTCATGATGAAACCCTGTTACTATCCATTAAATTAAGGTGGTGGTGATGAGGTTCAGCAGTGCATCGGCCGCGGAAGTCGAACCTTGGACCATATGTGGTGTGTTTGGCGAGCATTCTGCCGTTGAACGTATATATATATATATTGAATGCTATAAATCATAAAAACTGAATGCATCTACACCACCCCTCACCGAGAACGATTTTGAGCCATATCACCAATTGTATCCAGCCGCCACCATTGGTTCTTGTCATCCCGAGGACCCCGATCAGGCAGTCTGCACCCCCTTACGTGATTGGCTGGCTGGTTGGCTGGCTGACTTAAACTAACTGTTGTGGATTTATTTCATTGACTGATGAAGCCATGTTTTCGTTTGACTACCACCACCACTAGGTAACTCTTTTCCAACCTGGTCCTATGTCAGCTAACATCGTCCGTCAAGGAAGGTAATCGATGGCTAGGCTAGGCTAGTCATGCGTAACACATGTCCTAAGCATCTCTTTCAATCGATGTGAATTTACAACTTCATCGATAGACTTTCATTCCTGACTTGGCATCCTACAACTAACCCCAATATCACTCTGACTGTTTTTGATCATAGATGCCTACGATCTCTTTCTCACGTTAGGTGGCATAATAAGGCAAGTAATGTTGACGTTAGGCGTAGAGTGTTGGACAAAGAGGCAAAATCAATCGAAGAGGCTATAAAGTTACATAGACTGAGATGGCTAGGTCACGTACTGCGGCGCATACCTAACCATCGCCTCCCCCGACGGACGGGCATTACTAGCTGATATAGGTGCAGATTGGAAAAGAGTAAGTGGCGGCCAAACAAAAACATGGCATCAATCCATGAAATTCCTGACAGTTAAACTGATTCAGGTAGGGAGATGCAGACTTCCGGGTTGGGGCCCGCCCTCGGGACTCTAAGAATCAATGGCTGGAGACAATAGTTGACATGGCTCAAAATCGTTTTCAATGGCTTATGCAGATGTATTCAGTCTCTGTAATCTTTTATATTCCTTTCTACCATTAGTGATTCTGTTTCACTCTTATACTTGTCAAAACTCTATTGATTCTCTTCACTAATTTTCTTGTCTACCTTTGTGTGCTATTTGGAACGTGGCAACTCGAACTCAGAAAATCTCCTTCGTAGGTGGTGGTAGTGGTGTTGGTGGTGTCATTTTAAGCTTTTTTCTATCTTCTGTAGTCTATTTTTTTTAAAAATATTTACATTCCTGGTGGAAAATAAGGCTTCAAGCTAGTAGAGCTTTTGAAGTTTCGGTAGCAGTGGTGTTTATTTTTTATGGGGTGGGGGGGGGTTACTAGCCTCATGCTCATGCGTAACAGTTGAATGAACAGCGGCCTGCTTATATCACTGTATTGAAGAGTAAATGTTTTTGGAACTAAATACGCTGAAAATTTTTGTACTGTGGTGTTGACATATTGTCTGAAATAAAGCTTTACTATTATTATTATTATTCCCTATTTCCCCATTTTATTACCGGCTTAACAAGGTAAAGGAGTGCTGCATCTGTCCCTGGAATCGAACTCGCGGAATCACATGCGTTGTTGGCGGGCGAGTATTCTACCGTAGTGATATTCGGCTATCGACCAAAGGGCGGGTGTACTGCTCAGCTATCCGCTCCATCCTCCTTTATGGCTATGAGACCTGGCCATTTAGAGTGGAGGACATGAAAAGATTAGCTGTCTTTGGTCATAGATGCCTGCATTCTATCTCCCGTGTGAAGTGGAATAATAGGGTGAGCAATATTGAGGTTAGACCTTTAGTCGAGTGCTAGGCGAGTGGGAGGGGAAATCAATCGATGGGGTGGCTGTGAAATTACATCGACTGAGATGGTTAGGACATGTGTTACGTACGCCTAGTCATCGCCTTCCTCGACAAGGGGCAATGTTAGCTGACATAGGATCAGGTTGGAAAAGAGCTAGCGTTGGTCAAACCAAAACATGGCACCAGTCAATGAAGTAAATCCACAACAGTTAGTCTAGGCCATGTAGGAAGGTGTAGACTTTCTGGTTGGGGGGTCCTCTGGATGGTAAACACCGATGGCTAGAACAATCGGTGACATGGCTCAAAATCGTTCCCGGTGATGGCTGGTGCAGATGCATCCACTCCTTGTGACTTATGATTTCCAATTAAAGTGTTTTGTTCTTCGTTATTACTATTCCTTTGCCTCACACCTCTGTTTACTGTCTCTAATATGCATTTCTCCTACTTTCTTCTCTTCCTTTGTGTGCTACAAGGGTGGAGTGTGGCGACTTGAACTGTTGCACATCGGTGCAAAGTTCTATGACGAAAACAGACAGACAGACCGCTAAGCCACCGACGTACTTCTATAGTCTATTGGGAAAGAAAAACCGTTTTTCATTTTTTTATTTACAAAGAGACTGATGAAAATTAAGACCTGATCACTACTCATTTATTATTTTTTAAAATTTTTTTTTGATTACAGAACTCAATACGCCATAATCTATCGCTACATGATAGATTTACAAAATGTCCAAAATCCTCAGATAATACAAAATCTTCCTATTGGAGAATTAATCCAGATGTTGCGGCTAAACCGTATGTACGCAGACGAGCTTGTTCAATGGATACAACTAATTTAAAACGACCAAGTCATTATGGAAAAATGAATAATCGATCAGGTGGCGGTGGTGGTGTTTCTCACCGTAGTAATGCTTCCAACAACAATAATAACAATATGACTGGACATCATCGTCTTCAAGTGCCTTCAACAGACAATGAGGCAATGAAGTTATCTTTATCACCAGTATGTGAATTACAACAGCAGCAACAACAGCATCATCCATTGGATTTCAATAGTTATGCCTCATCAAAAATCGCCTGTAATCGATCAGATAATACAACAGACTGTGGGGAAATTAATCTGATGAATAATAGTGGTGGTGGTGGTGGGAGCAGCGGTAGCTGTCGTCTAGCTTCATCAACATCACCGTCAACAGACACGTGTAGTACAACTAAGTCTATGCATTTTTATCATTGTACACAACAGTCGAATCCTGCGAATAATGATACACTATGTGATAATAATAATCCATTAATACCTACTTGTATTAGTTCATCACATTGGCAAAATGCTAAAGCATTAACACATCATCATCAACATCAGCTTCAGCATCATCAGCAGTTATCAAATTCTCAGGCATATAATTCAAATGCTACATCTGGCGGCGGCGGTGTCGGTGGTGTTGGTAGTAATATATTCAATTCAGGATTCTCTGGTCTGTCTTGTTCTACTGATCTACCGCCAAATCGATGGTAAATTCTTTTTTTGTTTGTTGCTTTCAATCTCTACGTTTTTTTGTTTTGTCCTATGATAAGAATTCGTGACCACCAGTGGGAGGAGGAGGAGAAGGAGGAGATGGTCATCGATGACATTTGGCTGGTGGTCATGCTAGATGTCATTGACTCTCTCCTCAGTGGCTGCTGAAGAGTCCCGGACGGGGACGAAACAGTCATCCAGTACTTCCTGGTGTTCAATAGTTCTCTAACTGAAGTTGATTCATGAATAAAATTGTGAATAATTCTAAACTCCACCCTAGTTTACCAGTTCGTGGTAGTAGTAAGCCCTCGGAAAAGGTGGAAGGGTGAACTGAGCTCTTAACGTTGAAGCTCAAAAAGAAACCGCAGTGTATTCTGTTATAGTATCGTCATTTACGCATGAATATTAGCGCTGGACAGTTTTTGATGTCTGTTCTGTTTTTATAGGGGACAGGGTGTCCTTTCATAGGAATCTTCTGAATCGCATATCTGATTAAGAGAACCAATTATTTGGAGCTGAGTTACTCGGTACGGTACGGGACCATAAGCCACACTTATTGTGTGTGTGTGTGTGCGAGAGAGGGGTAGACTTACTCAGTTACCTGAGACTGAAGCAGTCAGTGAAGCAGAAATCACATTCAGGATCAGTTAGGTGAAAGTTAAGCGCTTAAGCCAAGTTCCGCAAGAAGGTCCTGGGTTCGAACCCTGACGGTAAGTGCGTACTGATGAAGAGTCCCAAACTAGTCTGATGAAACAGTTGTCCAGTACTCCCAGTTGGTTTTCCAATGGTTCTTTAACCAATGTCAGCTCATGATGAAATCCTGTAACCAATCATCCAAATCCCTACAAACAAATACTTGAATAAATTTCTGTTGATTTAAAAGTTGACGTACTATAATTATCTAATGTATGTGTGTGTATGTTTACCAGAAGACAAACTGGTTGCTGTACGTATGCGTAGAAAAATTTAACAGTGTCTTTGTTCAACGTCAATTGTGGTGGATAGTGACTAGCAGTGGAATCCAGGATAAAGCTCATTTCGTCCTATTTAGGACTAGTCACCTGGATGTACCTGCATTACCCAGTTAGTCAGTGATAGTGTTCCCACCCAAGTAGTCTAGTGGATAACGCTTTGGTGTTTGAAACTATGGGCGATGGGTTCGAGCCTCGGTGGGGGCACCATCACTGACTGACTTACTGGGGAATGCTGGTACATCCACTGGCTGACAAGCCAGTCCCAAATAGAAGCGTGAAATGCACGTTATCCTGGATTCCACTGCTATTCACCATCCCCTAATTGACTTCAAGTTACATGACCACAGACATCGTCGAAGCATCTGCACGAGGAGGAGGAGGATGAGGAGCCGACATGTGAACCTGAGATCGAGCACTTCTCTCCAGTCAATCAATCGATGGGAGAATCGAAATTGAATTCAATATAATGTCTCTTTTTTATGATCTTGAAAGCTGAATTTGTCACTAATAATGTTCGAATGTCCGATGAAATTTGGTTGTTGGTCGTGGTACCTGAATATGTATATAGTTCTTAACAAAAACGCGGTTCTTAAAATTGTTTTCGTATCATACCTTGTGATGTTTTGAAAGCAGTAGTAACCCCACAGGTAGGTATTTGTTAGGTTGGTGTAATCACCCGACTCACTGTTTTCATAAATCACTCATACGTTTTAGGTATATTTTTCGGAGAATGTAATTTTGATTGAATTTCATTTTGTATTAGACACGCCTCTTTTGACTCAAGTGTTACTAGTGTGGCAGAAGTTGGAATTCATAGGCCATTGGCTCAGTTCCCAGTGGCTGAATGGTCAACGAGCTTGACTTGTAACCGGGATGGTTTTTGGGTTCGAAACCCGGTGTGGGGGGTACATACTGCCGAAGAGATTTCCAAAGAAGGATGAAAGATATGTCCCTGCTGGATTTCCAATAGTCTTCGCACCTCATGAACAAACCTGTAACCAATGGCGTATACCCTGCATACAAACACTTGAAAATTGTGAAAACATTCCGTAGTGGTTGTGTTATTACTTGCATGAATGCAAGCTAATATTGTTTACAGGTTTAATCACGAGTTGTTGATATCAGCTAGAGAACCACTGAAAACCAGCTTTGGGGGGGGTGATTACTGAACAGCTGTTTCTTCCCATCCCGAGACTCATCGTCAGCACATACCTATTGGGAGTGGGACTCACTATTTTCCGTTTACAAGATGAGCCACTGAGACCCAATCTAACTTCCAGCTCTTGAATTTCAACTTCAACCAATTCGTGATATATATACACCACAACCGCCAGTCAGTGTCATAGGCGAGTAATTGAGTGTGTCCTTTTTACCTGACTTGGTGGGCCCCTCTGGTAACGGCTTGTCACTCCAGGTAACTTCCTGTACAGAACCAGTCACTACTAGTGAGCATCAGATTAATTTACAAAATGAATTTAATTCACAGGTATTTGATCACAAAACAAAGCTGTCCGTCCAGTACTCCCTGCAGGTTTTTCAATGATTCTCTAACTTATGTCAACACTCGTAGTCAGACCTGTAAACAATCCTCAGACCCTTTTGCAAACTAAAACATGATAAGAAATTGTGTCATTTACCCTTTTGAAAAATAATTATGATTTAAATCAGAAAATGTTTTCTATGAACTTATTAATGACTCATACATTTATTGTTTATGTTACTATATATTACCGGTAAGTGAAGCATATAACATTCTGAAGTTGTAAATATAGTGGAGAAGATTTGTAGCTCAGGTCGATGATTTTAATGTAGTTGTGTTCTCGTTTATTTGAGAAACTTTCACACTGCCCCATCACTAGGCCAACACATCTTCAACGAGCATACATCAATTTGTTCAAGTGAGCTTTTAGATTTCTCCACCAGTTTATGAGTCATCTCTCCCGGTGGGTGATCTTGAATGTCGTGATTGGTTACTCTTTTGTGTGTTTTCGATATTACTATTCTTTTTGCCTCATATCTCCTTATACTGTCTCTATTTTGCATTTCTTTTTACTTTCTTCCCTTGCTTTGTGGGCCACATGAAGTGTGGTGACTCGAACTGCTGCACATCTGTGCAAAGTTCTACGTTGAAACCAGTCAGTCAGTTTTCATCCTCCTCTAGGCTACCTGCATTGGTACTTATTGTCTCCTTGACCTGAAGTCTAACCTTTTATGCTTGAGATTTTCCTCTTGTGGATTGGTAAATTTAGTCTATGTCAATGTGTCTATTGATTGACGATTCACTGGAGTACCAAACTTCAAAAAGTTCTCTGGCATTCTTGGTGATTCCTCTGTCTAATATTTGAACGTAATCGAAATGATGTCCGTAGTTGGTCTGTATATAGTGAGGCGATATGAGGGAGTGGATGTCATGTCTTTTGACGGTTAGTTTATGTTCATGAATATGAAGACTTTAGGTCAAGGTGGCAATCAGTACCAAAGCAAGCAGCCTAGAGGGGGGAAGGGTTAAAACACACAAAAGAGCAACCAATCACGACGTTCAAGATCACCCCACCAGGAGAGATGACTAATAGTAAACTCGTGGAGAAATTTAAAAGCTCACTTCAACAAATTGAAGTATGTACGCTTAAGATGTGTTGGCCTAATGATGGGGCAATGTGAAAGCTTTGCAAATAAACCACCATCCAGTTCAGACAACATATCAACTATATCAAAACAAAACCTGATGTTGTATAAAACTGATTAGTGAAAGTTAAGAGTGATCTGCAGCTAGACACACTAGTCACTCACTTTATGTTGATTGGAACTGATCACACATGCATTCAAATAGGTCATGTGTTCCCATCGCATAGCATCATGCACACACACACAGAAAGATGTACTTCTGTTAGCAGAGAATGATACAATTTGTGTGCGTCGGTGGCGCACAGCGGTTAGGACTCTCACCGACTATGCACATGGTCCGGGATTCGATCCCCTTCCGACGCACACCCGATATCAATGGTTGGCCTGCAAAATTTGGCCTACTGATATCACATGCTGAAAATTCCATACTTGTACCGAAAATACAGTGTGGAATCAAGCTATCATCAGAAAAAAAACTTGAGATACTGACTGTGATGATGATTAAATTCCATTGTGGGTAAAATTTATTTCGATAAAGTCTCACACACAGTGTAGTGTTATACAGTAAGTAATATTTACTGATGACCACTTTTTGAGCACCTCAATTTATTACTGCAGCTCATAATCATATCATATCAAGGTAGGTGCACACTCACACAACTTTCTAACTTCGTTTATACAATTCCATCATTATTTTTCATCGCTTGACTTGATGATTGGTAGTAGTATTTTCTATATATCCGGTATGAGTGATGAGTCATTCCTACTGCAAATGTTGAGTGTAGACTCGATGAACCAGGCGGAATTCAGTAATCAACCTCTCTCTCTTCACCAACTTATATTACTTCTCAGAACTTTAACCCTCTCCCACCCCCTATTGTATGGTTGTGTGTTGACCCAATTAAACAAAATAATATAATTTACAAAATACCTTCCAAATGACTGTGAGTTGTGGTCAACTACATAGGTCAAACTAGTAGATCGGAGGTGGTCAGATTGTCAGAATGTGAGAATTTAGCTAAGTGCAGAATGAATGATCCCACGAAGACAGATGAGTAATGTAGGAAAAAGCTCAGCACTGCATTGTACTGCATGCATTAACATACACAACCATACAATAGGGTGGGTGGACAAAGTCAAAATTTTAAAGAGTAACACAGGCTAGTGGAGAGTGAGAAAGAGAGAGATTGATTACTGAATCCTGGTTCATCGGATAATCTACACCCACCCCAAATGAAATAGGAATGACTCATCGCCAATACCAAAGATACAGAAAATTCTACTACCAGGAATCAAATCCTGAGATGAAAAATAATGATGGAGTGATATAAACGAAGAGACTCTTTTCAACGAATTTATTATCAAGCTGTACAATCGTATATATATGGGTTTTTTTC